TAGTATAAGTTGAGACCTACAGTTACAGCAACATATGAATTACTTTACAGCAGACAAGTGTCTAAAAGCAAAATCACTCTATCCAGTAGGTCTGGAATGCAATTAAAAATTCCAAGAATTTTGTATGATACTTAAAAAAATGCTGTCGGGAGATGAGAAAACCCGGAGCCCTACTCCATGGAGCACAGGCAGCCCAAGCTCACTACAAGAAATGCGGACGTGACTCCTCCCGTGTTGCGCAACGTTTTATATTTATAAAGGTTTGTATGGGATGTTATCAGTTTGTCTTAAAAGAGAGGAAAAAATGTCTCGTTTTGAAATAAAATGGGCTTACCTTATTGCCTTGTTGTTTTCTTTGTTGATTCCTAGCGTCTCAGGCCATTTTGAAGCGTTTTCGGCAAGTTAGCGCAATGGAGTTGGCGCTTGTTCGTTTTCGTAGTACGAAAACGAAGACCCTGCTAGGCCAAAAGAATTGCTTACTTCATAACGAGAATTTTCCAGCAGAAAAAGCTGAACGACCGTCAGAATCTATTTTAGCTACGAAATACAGTAGAAATCGATTATTTATTGACAGAACCCAAGAGTCATTTTTCCTGTACAGAACGCGTTCTCTGTTATTCTGTCACGCAATGCTAACTATAAATCAAAGGCGGCTAGCGTTCGAATTCTGCCTGCTGTTCCAAAATAATAATATGTGTTGTAAGTTTACCCGAGGAAACCCTCGAGAATATCAACACCAAACTGGCTCGTATAGCGAAACAGAAAAGACAAGACGGGCCGTACAATAATACGGGCAGTATATAGAAATGGGAAGAAACGCGTGAAGTGTAATGTGTTATATTACTAAGCGTTGTTACTGTTTAATGTGCGTTTAACTTGTAATTTCTACGGTTTTCTGTTTACAGGGTTTTCGTTTTCGTAATTCGTTTTCGTACTACGAAAACGAACACCGGGTCTTAGGTCTTAGGTCTTCGTTTTCGTAACTTAGAGCCCTAGTCACTTGTCCCCAAAAAAACTGGATTGTACCGAATTGTGACATTCGGAGAGCCGGTAAGCTCAAAATATTTTAGGATATGTACATCTAAACGATTTACCATGTTTATAAAATATTTTATTTGACCAATACATGACTTTTAGGGGTACTACGTTAAGGTACTCCATAGGGTACTCCATGGAGTAAGGCTCCGCGTTTTGTCATCTCCCGCTGCTGCCAACAACTAAATGACAATTGGGAATTATTCAGTATAAAAGTGAAATCACAGGTGACCTGAGTGAAGGCCAGGAGACACACAAGATATGTTGTGGCAACAATTTGATGTTTTCGACACTTGGAATTTTCTGTGAAAATCTTTATTTCCTAACAGGACTTCCACAAATTCTATTTTCCCTCCAGTCCTGTTCAAGTTACTCGCAAAGAGACCTGAGTACTAGTACTGCCAGCGAAAACAACATGGCGGCAAGCGGGAATGTTGAAGTTGTTTGGAAGAATTTAATGAACTTCTTAATTCCCGAGTCTCCTCAAGTACCAGGTATCAATAACATAATGGTAGAATCCTTTTATTTTTCATTTAAGTAACTAATCGATACTGTTTCTGTTATAAACTCTAGACCCTTTGGAGCAGTTCACTCAAAACCCACTTGTGTCTGCTCGTTTGCGAGACTGGTTTTTGGGTAGGTGACAAATTATGTCAAGAAAGTTCGAGTATGCAGACTTTACTCTGTAGTTTTGCGAGATTTACAGATGAAAAATTTTATGTGATGTTTGTATGACCAATTGTTAACTTGCATCCGCGTTTCGCCTTTTCAGAAAAGTTCAAGAAAGATTTGAAGGATAAATTTCGATCACAATTTTGGTCCTATTTCCAAGAAGACAAAGAGGTAATCATGTTAAGGAATTTACCATCACCTCCTTGAATGAAGTTGAAGCTTAAAAGTCCAGGAATGAGGAACGTAGATATTCATTGGTGATCTGTTCTTTATGGGGTCCTGGACTCCTTTACAGATTATCCGTATGGCTATTTATATTAGTTTTGTTGTTATGTATTACTATTAATGCCATTAAATTGTAATAAATAAATAAATAAATAAAAAAATAAAGTATGACTGTACTTCTCCCAATTTCAACTTCTTATCCCAATAACATGCTATTTAACAATTATTCGCCAAAGGCGAGGTGAATATCGTGAATAATCCCCAAGACGAAGTCGAGGGGATGATTCGACAATATTCACCAAACCTCAGGCGATTAATTGTTTTAGTATAATTTCAGAGCTGAGCAACAGAGAAATTTCTAAAATCATAACATTTTAGTAACATTTATTAACATTTTATTTTAACATTTTATATAAGCCGCGTGGAGCGGTTTATATAGCTCATATGAGGAACCGCTCAACCAATCAGATTGCTGGAAACTCTTTGTTCAGCTCTGAAATTATACTAAAATTAAATACATATACATTTTGTATACAATCATGCACACGAATCAAAATTCCACAGCGTGATTGGTTATCACTTACCCGGTTTGAGCACTAATATGACAGTGTGTACATCATGCTTGTAATTTGAAAGTACACTTCATGTGTGTGTGTGATGTTTCTATGCATCTTTCTGATGTCCAGTTTCTTTCTCAAATTTTGTCACAGTTTTGATTAATTGGTGACAGGACTGTGAGTTGTTCCATTCCCTCTCTTATCATACTCTTGAATTAATACATATAACTCTCACTTCATTGATGTCTGATTTTTTTCAATCATTTGTCTAATTAAAGACAGAATTAAACTCCAGTCAGTCCTTTTACCTTAATTTATCAACTAGATGTTGGCTTCTTGAGACAACACCAGGTTCTCCCAGCTGATTTACATTGAAATGCACAGCAGTTGTGTCAAGATTGAGGAATTTTCACGTTTGTGCTTAATTTTATTGATTTCATGAGACTTAGGTGTAATGTGTGAAGCTTGGCAGTTTTGAAGTTGAAAAATTGAAGGGTAAACATGGAGCCAAAATGCATAGCCCTAGTATAAGTTGAGACCTACAGTTACAGATGCCATGAGAAAAAGGGATTGGGTCATCTTATGGGAAGTGATAAAAAATTTTGTTATGGTTATTTTGATACTCACAGGTTGAAGCAAAAGAATTAAACACCTTGCTATGTGCAGTGGGAGATCTCTGTGGAGGAATATCAGCATACAGGCCATTTGTGGATCTCCTTCAATCTTTGACAGGATCACTTCCATTGGGGTATGTCATCAGGGTACAATGTAAGGCAACTTATGCAATTTAAGGGTAACAGAGGTCAGGAGATTATTCAGTTTGGTGATCAGTGATTAATCTTTTATACCCTAACATCAGTATGCATATTCGTCTTGCTGTTCTCCATTGATTTCCTATGGTATCAATGAGAAGAATTTGTTTACCAATCAAGGGTTTCTTTAACTGGTGATCATTTGCCTTTTTTCTGTGAGCTTAACATTTGATTTATGGGTAATATAATAGGGAGAGATTAGATGCTAGTCACTTTTACGCCTGGTTCAGATACTGATCTTAGCGGAACCAAATTCCTTGAATTAAATACATGAAAAGATCGGCATCTGAATCACTGCCTCCCAGTTAGCTCAAGGGATAGAGTACTGGACTGTTGTGCAGGAGGTCGAGGGTTCAAGCCCTGGCCGGACCAACACTCGAGGTCTTAAAACAAGTGAGAAGAATATGCTACCTTTCTATATCAAGAAATGGTTAGATACTCTAGTCTTCTCGGATGGGACGAATAAATGGAGGTCCCGTCTCCTGCAGGGTTAGGGGTAGGAGAGGTTAATTTCCCATGCACGAGATTTGTGATGGATGTTCTTCCCTGGGGTGGTTGCTGGGTGGGAGTTGGCCCTGAAAAACCCCCATGGGGAGTGGTCGATTAACATATGTATGTATGTATGTAATTTGGAACAGCTCTTTTAATTTGGAACGGCTCACCCATTCTTCCCACCTGGCTTGGCTGAGAATTTCACCTTTGGAACACCTTTGGAATGGCTTTAATTCAGACACTGTACTTTTCATGTGCTGATCCTAATGGATAAATTGTTATAATGTATTTTGCAAGCAGTTTGACTGGTTTTTAATGGAACTGTATTTGGAACGGCCAAAAAGAACTGCATCTGAATCAACAGGTGTACTTTTGTTACTTTGGGTCAGTCCAAATTCGAATTGAGTTTGGCTCATGAAAAGTTTGGTATCTGAACCAGGCCTTAGAGGTCACAGGGTTAGTAGAAATTGGGATGGTAAGTTTAGTTGGTTTTAATTATTATTTTCCAGTGATCTCAATCTGCAGTTTGAAAGACTTGTGAGAGCTATTATCTTTTGTGATATACCTGAGCATTTCAGAGGCATTGTACATGCATCTTACACACAAGCATTTCAAGCATACCAAGTCAAAAGTAGAAAAGATAGTAAAATGGACACATCAGGTATGGCACAAACTACATATGAAGCCTTCATATACAAGCTTGTAATTGAAGTGTTGCTATGTAGGCCAATTTCATGCATGGCATATTGTTATTTTACAAGTGAAAAAATCTATTACAATATCATTGGACTATATGGGGAATTCATCCATCAGAATTTAAAGTTCCAAGCATAAGTTAAGGTTATACTTAAATCTGACAGTTCTATAAAATGGTATAATGGCAGTGTTTGCACACGAGATTGATTGACATGAATATCTTCCTTAGTGGGAAGTAAATGATTTATTGATGAATACAGAGGAAGCCAATTGTACTCTTGCAGTTACTTTAATATAATATAACTAATAAAGTTCTAAAAAATCTGAAAGTATACATATAAGGATGCCTTTGTTCAGTTTAAGGATGATGACCTTATTCAGTTTAAAGGGGAACTGAAGCCTAAATTTCAATAATTAATTTTTTAAATTGGAGCTTATAGCTCAATTATCACTGTTTGAATGGTTTTTTAGTCTTTTGGCCCAACTTGGCCTTAAAAAAATATTTTTATACTATATTTTGAGCTCATAGTATGGTAGCTCAGAACAGCAATGTCAGTGGTTATTTTAGCTCGCTATTATGTCACTGGTGGGAAAGAAAGATAATAATCCCATATTCTTCCTTCAGAACTTCTGTGTGGTCGTGAAGTTATTGAAGTTCTGTGGCTTGTGATGGTTATCAAATTCAAAAATGAAATATAATAGGAGGCCTTCTCAAGTCAGTTCCCCACCCTGACGTCATATTCGACCGCTGCTAACTGTTTCTGAGTGTACAGTCTTACAGCTGCAAGAGCAGGGAAAAGGCAAATTCAAATCAGATTTTCTTGTAAAAGAACAAGACGTGAACAAAATTAACCACCAAGACTTTATCTTAAATTCCTCTAAAGCCCACTAGAAATGAATGCATATAAAATACCAATTTGAGGCTTCAGTTCCCCAACAGGTGTATTGCTACACCTTCTCGATTTGGTTAATGTTGTACCAGTCCTTCAAGTGTTTTTCAGTTCAGATAGGATGCTCTTGTTCAGTTTAAAGATGCTCTTTTTCAGATTAAACATGCTTTTGTTCAGTCTAAGGATGTTCTTCAGTTTAAGGATGCTCTTGTTCAGTTTAAGTGAATAGGAGTATTGTTCCAACCTCTAGATGAGAGGTTATTCCATTGCAGTTTGCTCACCTGCATTTCATCAGGTCTCCATGACTATTTGCTTACATGGAGCTCATCCTTTTCCTAAGAACACCAGATCAGACCAGGATCTGCCTGAGCATGAACCTGATTTGGATTACAACATGTTAACCACAAGTCTACAATGTCTATTATAAAGTGGTGGTGACTGAAGAATAATGTGATTCATTTAAAGGGTTAAATGTCAGGAAGGACTGTGCAACTAAATTTTTTGTGTCGTTTTTAACTGACAGGTGCATCGTCACCAGGTGCTGATGGTGAAGATGAAGATGATGATGTGGAATCACTGACTTGCTCGGGTTGTTCTAAAGACAAGGACTGTTGTCACTGTGAAGGCATGATTGAAGGATTTTCACAACTCAACAGGCAGCTTAATGTACTTGGACTAATGAATAAAGTTGCTGAACCAGCTTTCCTATCAGTCATTCACAGGGAGGTAAAATGTTTTTTAAAAGTAATACAATGTATACAATTTTATTTGTACACACTCACCATATTTTGAAATTCATGAAACTAAGTGCAGAAATTTTTTTTTTTTTGAGAAATTTTAATACATCGTTTATGTGAATGGTGACAAATCTGATCGAACCAATATGCATGCTGACACATCACCAACGCACACTTGGTTCTTGATCAAAGCATTTGCTGACATTACCTAACAACTTGCAGATGTATTGGTCAGCTCTACCCCTACATCTATCTTCTCAACAACTGTCATGTAAGAACTAAATAAGTGAACTTGGCCCAAGAGTCACTCAAGTCTGACAAGCAATGTATCAGTAACATGCAATAGAGGCACTGGCCAACAGTTAGCTAATTAATGTGTTGCAAAACATACACATTGGAATTTGTTTGGATATATACTCATCATTCATTTTAAAGTCAGTCGGGAAGGGAAATATGAAAATAGATTTTTTGGTAAAAAAGTGCCATTTTTTGTATTCATAACATCTTGAGGTGTTTTTTAATAAGCCACTGCTTCCCAGATATAATTACTGAGTATTATTCTTTGAAACAAAAACAGGTACGACAAAGAGTACATTAACTGCTCAATGCACATTTTCCTGTAAAATTTGAATCCTGGGTGAATAGTTTTTATTTTCACCTATTAGGCTGATTCTCATTTTCCTTTGTCTCTCAACCAGTATTGTTTATGATCAGCATTGGGAGACAAGGGAAGTTGTGAAACAATGTAATTTGCAGATTTGTTTTTGCTTGAGATAAATTGAATTGCAGGATTTATTATCTACCCCTGCATTATTATGGATCATCTTAAGTTATTTACTCTGAGGATCACTTTTCTACCAGGCATTCCTTGGAATGTTAATTCTGAGAACTTTGTGTCACCTGTCAGCTTGACAGTGTAATGTCTCATTTTAAAGGGTGGAATTACTTATTTGTCCCTCCTGGACAAGAAAGGGTTGACTAAGCATTACATGTCTTCAAGCCTCTTAATATGATCAAATGCAAAAACAAAAATAACCTGTCACATTATGTTGTTAACAGGTACTTGTAATCATTTTGAAATTCCAGAGATATTCATTTCTTTCATTCAGATTCAAAGAAAAATTGAAGAAAAGTGTAAAGGCGAATTTGAGTCATCCTTTTTGTCTTCCTTGTTACACTGGGTTGATACAGAACTGTGGGGCTGGCTCTCGTTAATTTTTCAAACTCAAGGTATGTGTGTCCAGAGACCTCTGACTGCCAACTCACATATACTTAGCACTCCAAGTTACAACCAATTGTCTTTTTCTTGGGTAATTGGTGTGTTTAAAATTAACTGGTGATTACAAAGAAGAAAACTCAACTTATTCTTTAAAAATTAGAAATACTTAGTATATTTTCATTAAGTACCAGTAGTTTCCTTTCCAAGAGGTTAAAGGCAAAGCAGATCTGAAACAGCAGTGGACAGAACTAATTTATAAACCAGTGCAACAAGGTCTAGTTTACTTTTTTCTTATAATTCTTCTATACTTGTTGAATGTAGTGATGTGTATTTCTTAAGTTTATTTTAACACAACACAACACAAATTTTGCTGTAGCTGTATATGGCAGCAGTTATTAGCAACTGTTCTTGACCAGCCATACCAATGACCGAATTAATGGCTCCTTCCATTCAACCAATTGCCAAAAGCCATCGTTGAAATGAGTGTTTGAAGGGTAATCATGGAAATGAATCAATGACAAGTACCCTGTAGACTATTTAAAACTGAATTTAATTTGAAAATTTTGCAGCAAGTGCTTATCCTAAGAGAAGCAAAGAAGAGTTATTCAAGGATGCAGTAATGCATACAGACACATCACTTGATATGTGGAAACCCAAACTGAAGTACTTTATGTACAAGTCATTTGCTGACCTAAGGTAAGTATAACTTGCGGTTCAAGGCACATTTCTAGCTAATTATCCCAAATTATAAATCATGGAGCACTTTACATCCAGTGGTTGTTAGAAAAAAGTACAGATGTACAGTCATTTAGCAGCTTCACCTAAATTTTATGGTCATATAGAAACTTTAAAACCATTTTTGAGGAGATATTGGTTTTCTATGAATAATCAAAAGTACTGGTCTTAACAAAAAAGTGCTTGAAGCAAAAGAAATTGTGTCTTGTTTTCCTTTCAGAATCAGTGAATTGTTCACCATAATAGTGGAATATCCTGACTCTCTCCCTGCAATTAAAGATCTAAAGGTACATTTAGTCCAGATTGTACTAACTAAAGGCGAGTCACACATTGTGCCTATCCAAGAGACAGGATTGTGTCAGAAGGCTATTTTGTTGTTGCCTGTGTCCAATTAGCCATTTAGAAAACTTTGCATTGGAGTGCATTATAGGGTGAATGGATGGGTGAAAAACTTCTCCTGTTACATCAACTCACTAATCAATATTTGAAGGTACTCTGGATTTAGTACACTGGTATGTAGAAAGTAGCTATTATAGCGCCCGCTTTTGTATTACATCATACTGCAAATATTTTATTCATCTACTTGTATGCTATATAATTACTCAAGTTCAGTTACTCATTGATTGAAGATGGCGTAAGCATGCCGAAACATGTCTCTCAAAAAAGTTGTCTATTTTTTACAATAGCTATAAAGATATCGTAAACCAATCATAGCTCTTTCCATTTTATTTCAGTCATGTTTAGAAGTTACTGACCAAAGAAAAGAGCTCATAGCATCCCTCAGATCTGCGTAAGTAACCCACATCTAATCACCAAGTATAACTTTGCTTCATATCATACAACACCTTTTACTGAGTGTGCAAGCAAAGGTTATTGATTGTAAGCTTCAAATGCAGGTTTCACTGTTCTAATGATACTGCAGGTTTGAGAGACGTTTACTTCATCCTGGTGCCAACACATCAGACATTCTAACTCAGTATGTGTCAGCCATCAGAGCTCTCCATGTGCTTGATCCATCTGGAGTGATTCTAGAACAGGTCTGTTTACCTGTCAGGCAATATCTCAGGTACAAGGCTACAAAAACAATAAAAGCATTTTTGCAATCTAATTTACTGATAACATATGTTACAAAAGAAAATAGTAAAGTTGTGTTTCTAGTAGACGTGTATGCAATGGACAGAGTGTGTGAATACTGTTGAAGGAAGTACTGTCACCATGAAATCAGTTTCTTAATCTCTGATCATGTCTGCACCAGTTCCTTCTGTCTTCTCTTGCACATCAGTTATAATTTTCTGTTTTCAAATGTTTTTGGTACATAATTAAAAAGGCAATTGGAAACATTCTGCAATCCCATACTTCTCATCCTGGTTACTGAGATCTCAGTAGAACATTAGAAATTTTTCCCCAAGACCAGATGAAAACATTTACAAATGATTCAGTAATTAGGCGAGATCTCAAAGGCCCTTGGGCAACTTAAGTTGTTATTGCAAAGATCAAATTCAGAAACAAGCTCATCATTTTTAAATGATATATCAAACAATTTCCGAGATGGAGAGGAGCACATGTAAACAACAGACAAAATGACTCATGAAAAAGCTATAATAATAATTATAATCAAAGGCCTCATGAGCCTTCTTTATCGTTGTCAGAACTCGTGAGGATACTGTACGCTGTATTGTGACAAGTTTGACAGATGACAGTAGCACAGAACTTGCAGAGGTGAGTCAAATATAATTTTAATGTAGTACCTTATTAAACAAGCTACCCAGATAAAGTCTTAGACCTTTGTTTTATAGAATTGTATTTTTGGTGGTTCAATTGTGCTCTTGTTATCTCATAGCAGATGAAAGAGTTCTTATCATATATGTATATATATATATATATATCTTATTAACCAAGTGCGAGGGCTGTACTGGGAGAATATCGGCCTGAGTTCTTGACAATATGGACCAAGTGCAGCAAGGTGCGTACAAAAAAGACCGAGGGCCGATATTCTTCTAGTACGGTCCCGAGCAAGCTTGGTTGATAAGAGATTTATTATACACTGAAGTTCAAAGGGACACAAGTGCGGTATCATTCGGGACAGTGCCTAGTCCAATACTGAGAGAATATTGACCGGCAATAGAGCCTTTTGATTGCTTTATTTTAGTTATTGGCCCTCTGACTGCCCGAGTCGTGTAATAAAGTAGGTTAATGTTGCCCTCAACAGGTAACTTGTTTCTTTTGTCTACTCAGGAACTAATGCGAGGAGATCCACGCACCGTTGATGATTTCGGTGCTTCTGATAGTGAGGATGATGATGTTAAGTGGATGCCAGCCCCAAGTGATGCTGATCCAGGTAGTTTACAATTAAATTTTATCAATGAGTTCTATATTTTCTGTAAGCCATGACTCAAAACCTTTTTGTAAATCAAACATATGTAATTGCCTGAAACATGACCAAAATGAAAATCCTCTAAAAGTGAAACTCTTAGAAACTTCCATTTATTTTAGCACCTGTTAAAGAAGTGCATGTCACTTTGCCCACTGATGAATTTAAAATGTTTCTGAGTCTGTGCTAAAACGACGCAACCTTAAGTTTAGGTAATAAATTTCCCCTTTATTTGCCTTTTCTCAGATAAAATATTAAGTAGCAGAAAAGCACCAGACATTATCAGGTGAGTCAAATTCAAGTTCTTTTTTTTATTGATATTACTCTAAAATCAGTCCATTATTTCTCTTACTACACTGCTTCATAATCATGGATGTGTTTTCATTTCACTAGTTATTTAGATTTCCATAATTGTCATAAACAGGGTTGTTTTGGCTTTTATACCAGAAATTAGGCAAACCTTCTTCATTTCAAATTCCATTTCATCTTGATTTTTGTTGATATCCAATTTTTCAACTGGTTTGAAAAAGTTAAAACTAAATTTTTTCCAAGCTCTGGTGCAGTTCCCATTATCTCATACAGCTCTCACAGTATCTGCTTACTCTTTACAGGTAATAATGATCTCCAGAAAAAACATTTTAAATTCTCTGACAAAGTATTTCTCAAAGCTTGCTGAGAAAATAATTTTTGATCAGGGTAACCATCTCATACCAAGGGTAGTAGTTGTCTTAGAAGTGAAGTATTACAAAGGGTAAAAATTGACTCTTCTTTTACCTTGTTCTAATGTCTGCTGTTACAGCATGCTTGTCAACATTTATGGCAGTAAAGACCTGTTTGTGTCTGAGTATCGCACACTCTTGGCTGATCGTATTCTCTCAACTTTTAATTATGACACAGAAAAAGAGGTTAGTAGAGGCATGCTTACTGAGCTTGACCAAGAAAGGGTCTGTAGAGTCTAAGAGGCCAGTAATCTGAAACTTTGTAAGAATCTACATATTAAGGTTATAATTCAAAAGAAATCTTTAAGACCTGGTTTTCAAACAAGCAAAAATATACATAACCATCATAGAAAATGGAGTCTTTTGTCACAAAGTGTTTTTTTTTTTTTTACAGTTTTTCTCTTTTATTGTTTCTACTTTATTTTAAATTTATTTGATTAATTTTTTTTTTGTTACAGCTTCGTTATTTGGAGCTATTAAAGCTCCGCTTTGGTGAATCACACTTGCACTTCTGTGAGATTATGTTGAAAGATGTGGCAGACTCAAGAAGAATTAATTCTCATATTCAGGCATCAGCCGAAAATATTGATAATAAAAAGGTATTTTGGGAATAACCTACTTATAACTCGTAACCCCCAAGATCTCATTTTAAATTCTCCCCCCCCCCTCTTCAGTTCCTCAGATTTCTTTGTAAATTAGTTCAGAGAATTTGGTGTAAGATAAAGATAACAACATCTTGATAATTTTGGTATCTTTATTACTTGTCTGCGTGTATGGATGTTAATCATTAATGGGGAGAATTGACAAGTTCATCACTTCAAGGGTTTAAGGGTTAGAAGATAAATCCATGTTGCTGAGGGCTTTTTAGTAATAGATGACAGATTATGTCAAAATGTGGTAAGGTAAAAGACATGGCCTCTGAGGCTAAGCTGAGTGTGTCACTGATGCTATTACCTCTTTGTGATAACTTCTGTGGTTTTAATGCACAGACCTACTGACACTGTAAATAAGAACTAATCAACATGGGTAGATAATTCAGCTTGTTACATATTAATGAGATTTGTTTGGTCCAAGTTCTGAGCTGACACACAGGAGTGATTATTATGTCATATTTCATCTAACAATTTTAATATTTTAGACTCGCAACTACCTGGGAAATAATATTGAAAATCTTTCAGTTATCAAATTGGGGATGTTTCTGTGATATTAAGCCAAATTATCTGCACTAGCCAATAGACAGAGATTCACTCATAAGTTGCGTGAATTTGTACTCAGGTCAAGGGAGTGACAGGGTTAATAGGTGTTTGGTCAATGTTTTAGGCAAATACCATTCCCTTAACATCCATGGTTTTATCTGCTGTATTTTGGCCTGCATTTCGGGAAGAGAAACTCAAAGTTCCTGAGGAAGTGCAAAGGTATTCTTAAAAAAATTATCTCAGAGTCCTCAATTTGTAGATATTAGTGTTGATTATTAATAACTAATTAAGTTATTACGTTCCTTTATCATTTAAGTACACAACTTGTGCATTGTTGATTATGTAAACTGTCATAAATCTGTTAGATAAGGCAATATTGTGCACCCTATACAAAGGATCATCTGTGTTACATTCATCATTCCAAGATATCTGCAATTGTCTTAAAGACGAAGGCACGCTATATAAGGAAGTCTTCCCTGGGAAGACCTAGGCTCATTTGTCACTCACCGTTGACGTGTGCGGGTCAAATTTAAATGCTGGTAGACAAACAAAAGGAGGTAATGAGATATCTATTGTTTACTTCCACAAGCATGGTGGCATGAGGTAACGTGCGAACCACCTACTTCGATCTCAAATTTACCGCCACAAATAAAGACAGTTTCCATTGGAGAAAGGCAATACAAATCTCAAAAATTCTTGTATTGTGATGAAGACATAAAACAATTTTGAGGAATGCGCCCGCTGTTCACTGCTTTGGAGAAGCTGTAGCTCAAGCTGACTTGACTATAAGAGTTCTACATCACACGACGATTGATTGACAAATGGTCCAGTGGAACCTAAGGCTCCTTTATAGCGCGCCTTCATGTTTAAGTGTCCTTAGTAGTGCATCAGGAAGATGGTCAATAGATTATGAGAGGCTTCAAATTCACTGATTGCAAGTTTGACGAGGGTAATTAGAGGAAACAGAAACAATCAAAGTTCCTTGTTGCTCAGTGGCAGAACATCCTACTTGTAAAATATGAAATGAACAGTGAAACTTTGGGAAAATTGATTGTATACTGTTTCTTACATCTCATGAAAAGTACCTTTTTCATATCAGTGCCATGGATGAGTTTACTCGTGGATTTGAGGCCCTGAAAGGCATGCGAACATTAAGATGGAAACCTCATTTGGGTCTAGTTGAGGTTGAAGTTGAACTGGCTGATCGCACTCTGTCTTTGTCTGTCACACCAACTCAGGCCACTGCAATTATGCATTTTCAAGAAAAAGGTGTGTCTTAGGAAACTTATGTAGCTGAGCAGAGCTAAGCTATTGACAGAAAAATATTGGACCAAGTAACTAAAGCTTTTTTTCCAAGAAGCAAATGTCATCATGAACAGGTTACACTTAAAAAATTTCTTTGGTAGAAAACCAACATCAAGTGAGGATGATAGCAGGACTCCATTCATAAAAGTACTTGTCTTAAGGACAGATGTAAATAATCATCTCACCTGAATTTTTTTATTAAGTCGTTTCTTCAACCACCACTTATCTTTGTTGAGTTACTAGTATCTTTGACTTGCGTAAAGAGTATTTTACCCCTCAGTTTATTATTTCACCTAAATTTTAAGATGCAGAACTAATGAAGCTGGGCTTGTCCAAAGCTTCTACTGGAAGGGTACAAAAAAGTTGTGGTGAGATCATAATTTATCATCCCTCCAATAAGAAACATAAATGAATAATTAGATAAATAAAGTTCCTTCCTTACAGTCGTTCAGCCATGTCAAATATCAGCTGGTAAAGGTCACAATAAAGTGCTGCTTTAACATGTTGACTCTTGCAGAACGCTGGACTGTGGAAGAGCTTAGTGGCATAATGCATGTTCCTCCTGGTCTCCTGAGAAGGCGTTTAGGATTTTGGGTCAGTCAGGGTGTTCTGAAAGAGGAGTCTACAGACACGTTTATAGTTATGGAAAAGCAAAAAGGACAACAACGAGCTACAGGTTAAGTTGATCACTTGCACTAACACTGATATTAAAAGCAAAAGAACTAGCTAGTCTAATAGTAATATTTCAATAATTAGGTGGCACCTCATGCACATTTTTCTAACCAAAAGAAAAGAAACAGGTTACCAGTAATGAGTGACCATTGAAGCTTTTGTATTTGCCTGTTAAGGTATACTTGTTACATGTACATTTCGATGTTGCTTGCAAATAACGACATTACCACTATCATAATGACTTCAAGTGCTTTATTCAGATTGTTTGAAAATTTGATTCACCTTTGAGAATGGCCAGTAGACTAATGTAATTTTAGAGGGGCTGTGAGAACTTCAAACTTTGTCATATGTGATGTGTTTTGTACAAAATAATTTAATTAGAATGTTGTGGCAGCTTGAGATTTTCATTGTGATTTACATTGTTCTCAAGTTTCCAGCTGTTCACCTTTGTATTCTGTCAGGTTAAAATTTTTTTACCACCTTGTGGATGTGACACAGCTAAATTCTACTTTATTCATTTACTGTATCTAAAAGAGATTTTGGAATGGAAAAAATACAAGTTCTAAGTTGCAAAAACTTTTACTTGTGTCTGCAGAAGTTGTCATGGATGCAGAAATAGAATCCGTGATGGCTTCTTCACAAGATCAAAGAGAGGAGGAATTGCAGGTATTAAATCAGTGCAAACATTTGTCAGTTGTTAAAAAAAAAAAAGAAAATGAAAAACTAACGCTTTTTCATGGTTTAATTGTACCTGCTTGTCGATCACCAAATATTTACACAATTCAAAACCAAGATCAGCAGGAGGAAAACCAGCTCACTATTTTACAAGCTTGGTTTAGGGGTTGAACTTTGGTTGCCACAGAAACAAATCCAGCCCTGCCTCCACATAAGTTGTTTTTTTAATTTAAATTTCAACTTTGTTGAGGTTTTTTTTTTTTTTACCTTAAGGTATTTTGGTCTTACATTGTTGGTATGCTGACCAATCTGGAAAGTCTGCCATTGGACAGAATACATTCCATGTTGCGGATGTTTGCAATGCAAGGACCCTCATCTAGCCAGTGCAGTGTGGATGACTTGAGGAGGTTCCTAGATCGCAAAGTTAAAGACCAAGAGCTGCAGTTTGTGAATGGATTTTACAGGTTACCCAAGTCAGGCAGATAACAGCGAATGTCATGACAAACAAAGAAAGGAATTGGTAACCTTTGGTATACCAGCGATCACAATATAGCTGAGGAGTCAAAGCTAAATAAAAATGGTACAACATCACCATTCATGCTCTAATATTTTAGCAGTTGGCACAATTCCCTGTTGGGATGCTTGGTGTGAAAGGTTTCCATCAAAAAACTTACAGTTGTGTCCATCATGAATGCATTTAGCTTGCATGAAGGAAGTGCTACGGAAGGGAAAATTCACAAATTCCAATAAACTTTTATGACTTTACAAGCACAGATCAGGGCACTGCCAAGGAAATCCTCACTCATACTCTTTCTGCTGAAGAAATAAGGATCCAAAATGTGCCTGGATACCTTCCAGCACTTTTCAGTATCATGCTCAGGTTCAAAAAATGCTTTACTTGTGATGGTTTTCTCTAAACTAAAAGTTAAGAATTTTGAAAGAGTACTCAGAATAAAGAAGCAACCGAAAGAAATGAAAGAATTGTCTAAAGTTCAACAAAAAGACTACTCTTTCTTAAAACAGTTAACTATTATTTTATTAGTCATTGTATAGTTACATCACTCAAAATTACATTTTAATGGAACTTAAAAAGGTTGAACTCATACAATCACACAGTTCCAAGAGTGAAATCTTCATCCCATTCTATTTACACCACCTTTCTATAGCACAAACTTTCTCTTTACTTTCTACATCACACACATTATTGCTTCTGTTAAAAAATTATTCAAAACTTACTATGGAGAATCTCTCTTCTTTGTTTCTTTCCATTCTACAACCCTTCAAATTCTAATTAAATGTCAACCCCTTGAAGTGACTAACATGTAACTCTCAGTAATATCCATACATTATCCAGCAAACAGGTCAGGAGAATACTCAAATTAACTTATCAGCAAGAAGTTTTCATCCTGATCTAACACCAAATTCTTGTAACCAATTTACAAGGAAATGTGCAGCTGCTAAAGAAGAGAGTTGACAATTAGATCTTTGGAGTTGGCTTAAGAATTACTTCTTTTCATGTTTGTTTTAATGTCGTACTCCATGAGAACCCAAGTACCAAAAAGTACCCAAGTTGAGTATTTACTAACCGATTGATGAAATATGAAAAATTGTGTCTGTTCTTGGAAACATATGCCACAAAATACAATTTCAAAATGTCTAGGTGAGAAGTACTCAATTAAAAAATTCAGAACTTATTTAAAAAGGTTGCCGTCAAAAAAACTTCCACTTCTCAATGCGATTTTTTTGTGAAAAGCTAAGTAATTCTACTGGCTGAATTTTGTAAACCTACTGTTGTAATAATTCTTCCTACATTTCATGTAAAAATGCACGAGTGTTTTTGAGTCAGAGATGCACAGTCATATTAAAAATAAAATTCTTCAATTAACAACCGCTCCATGGTGGATGGGTCTACTCAATTCAAAAAGCTACATATCTGATATGGTTCTTCCAGGGACTGGCATTCATTAATTTTTGTAGTCGTAAAAATTTACAGTAATAACATTGTACTTTCCAATAAATTATTGTCACTCTTTGCTAAAACTATGTATTAATGCAAATTGGGTATCATTCTGCTGTACATAAATTTTTGAAGGTCAATTTTTTTCTGCCCTTCAAGATTTCTCCCAAATCCCCAAAAACAAAATCTGCAAAAATGTCACTAAATTCAGAAAAAATTCTCCTGTGAGTCAAGTGTTATTCTTTCTATTCCAACAAACTTAAAAAATATTCATGTATGAATCATCTACAACCTTGCCCTTCAGTGTTGAACCTTTTAAATTTCTTTCCATAACAATGTTGCCAGTAACAAATTTCAATCATCTGGACTGCAAAACAAAACTCCTAATAATTTTCACACCGGATGGCACAAGCACGTGGGATTAACTTGCTGAAAGTATGTACAGCTATTGGTATTACACATAACAACTTACAATGCCATTGAATTATTTTTGCAGTTTGCTTTGCAGTAATAATTATGTTTGGTCATTGCAATAATTTGTCTAATAATCACCCCCAGAAATTCTTCTGACTTGTCTTTGAAATTGCAATCCCCACAGGACTCATTCACTAATCTAATTCATGCATGTTGTACAGAAAATAATCTTATCCTAACTGGAATGATTTGCTACAAGTACTTGTAGTAAACTTTATCTTTACAACCCTTAACTTTTAAAAAGATTTTTAGTTGATCAAGCTCTCTATTTGATTTGACTTATCAAAATTAACTCTAAAGCCCACAAAGCTTTCTTTAAAAATAATTCAACAGAGGACTTCATGGCTGAGCACAATTATGTCTGACTGTGCTAAGGGTGTGCACCTTTAACATTGCCATAAACTACTTGAAGTGTTATCTAAACTTTCCTTCAATTAAAGAAATTAGCCTGACATTCACTCACATCCTGAGAAAATACTGAGAATGTATGGGTTAAAACAACAAAGCACTTGCATAATCAGTAGAATCTGTGAAGCCTTGTCCTTCATCAGCATATTTTATCTCTGAATGACCCTCACTAGCTGTGATATCACTTTTATCAGCCTGTTGTGGAGTTGTCACTTGGTCTTGAAAATGACCTCTCATTTGCCCTATTTGCTTTTCCATATTGACCAGGGCAGGAGGTTGATAATTTTGCAAGGTTTTTAACTCCCCAAAGCCATTTCTTTGGTAATCGTCATAAACAGCTACAGCAGTTTCTTCTGAAGGATAGTCATGTATGGTGTGTGTGCTCTTGAAAGAAACTCTCACTTTGTTCACCTGAAAATTTAAGTAATATTGTTTCTATTAACATCTATGTATATGTGCACGATCCTTCGCAGTAAAGCACTATTTGAGCAATAGTGAAAATCAGACCTGAAAAAAATTTCAGGCCTGTACGGGATTCGAACCACTGACCTCTGCGATACTAGTGCAGCGCTCTACCAATTGAGCTAACAAGCCAACTGGGAGCAGGCCATCAAATTAATTCGACATAAACCCGTAGATGATAAATCAAACAACAACAAACATATGAAACATATGTATGAACTGCAGTTCATACATATGGTTCATACATAATTAATTTGATGGCCTGCTCCCAGTTGGCTTGTTAGCTCAATTGGTAGAGCGCTGCACTAGTATCGCAGAGGTCAGTGGTTCGAATCCCGTACAGGCCTGAAATTTTTTTCAGGTCTGATTTTCACTATTGCTCAAATAGTGCTTTACTGCGAAGGATCGTGCACATATATGTTTCATAACCGCAGTTCATACATATGTTTCATATGTTTGTTGTTGATTAACATCTATGCTACATGTGTGACCTACCATTGTCAAAAAAAATTTTGTAGCTTAATTAAGTTACAAATACATGAAAATGTGTGAGTGCTTCTTATCGGTAATCCCAACTCATAATTCATAGTCTACAATCAATGTCAACTTTTTGAAAGTGTAGTGTGGTCGCCTGGGTGAGTGTAGTCCTGAGAAGGACTGTTGTTGGTGGTGGTGACTGACGTTTCAACAACCTGGGCAGAAGTCTTGACTCCAATGATGACTTCCGCCCAGGTTGTTGAAACGTCAGTCACCACCACCAACAACAGTCCTCCTCCAGACTACACTCACCCAAACGATCACACTACACTTGCACGTGTTACCCCCGGGTTCAAACCATTTACTGCAGAATGTAAACTTTGTACAAGGTTTTGGATTAATCAATTTGCTTTCAACTGCTGAGGATGCTGAAATTTTCACTTGTATACTTTGCAATTGACAGTCGCAACATCTGATCAGAAAACTAAAGACGCCATTTTCTTAAGTGTATATTTCAAACATACATGTACACTGCGCCTTGACAGTTAATAATGATTATGACTTATCAATTCAAGTTCTTAGGAAAGAGAAATGAAATGTTTTTTAATAACATGGTAGTTAAAACAGATATAACAAAAAATTGAAAAAGAATTTCCCTTTACTGAGAATCACTGGTAATAGTGAAATCAACATCAAATTCTGAGTAAAAGTTATTATAATAGTTAGGTCATCCCAACATGTACTGAATTTCAAGTGACAAGCTGTCTTATTAGTAATTATCTGTGTTTGACATTGTAAAAAAAAGAAGCCAACATTTGTATTTCAATATCACTGACTTTTTTCTTCTCTTGGTAAAGTAATGCAGGAGGGCCATGTTTGATATTTGCAGAATATTTGATGTAAAATGCAGTTCTTGAAGATTTAACCACATTATGAATGGTGAGCAACAAAAGGAAGATTATTTTTAAAAGTTGGTTGGTTCAAGTTTCCATAATCTGAAATCATGAGTGAGCATCCCTTTGAGGTCTCATAAAAAGGAAAAAAAAAAAACACAAAAGCAAAATGATCAAACTTAACACATGAATTCCATTCATTCATCAATGAATATTAATGAAATACAAAAATTTGCCGCAAAATTAATTATAGTGAAAAAAGCCACAAAATTTTTGACAGACAGTGGATGCTTCTTTGTTAAAATGTTTTTCTAACTTATTAATAATTAGCATGAACTGAAAAAAGTATTGAGAATCCTTTTCAAAGTAAAAAATTCTCCCTAACTTGAAAGTTGAATGAAGATCCTGCCAAGAACATGTAAAAAATATGAATTATTTACATCACTTTAAATATTCATTACTGACAAAACAAGGCAGTGATATTCAAAATGATTTCCTCTTGCATGATTTAATTATTTTTTCTCAATGTCAAATACATTTCATTACTAATTAAAACTTTTAAATTGCCACTTGAAATTTTAAATAAACTGGGATGAACTACAGAAATGGATATTAAATTGTCTTCTGTCAACAGATCTCAGTCTGGCAACAACAGTCTTGATTTTTTCTCACATCATTAATATAACTTGGATTGGTTTCTACCAAGGAGAAAATTAATAAGTTCTTTTCTTAGTTTTGTTGGCATAACCATGAAAAGCTTTTCTTACACAATGAACATTTTAAGTTAGACAAACACAAACACCAAAAAATGAAGAATACACCAAGGAAGAATTACAAACTTTAAGGTTAAAAAAGGCAAATATCGACACAGTGATACAAACGATGAACTTTGTATGTTGAAAATGAATTTTTCAAAGTAAAAAAAACCCTGATGTAACTCACATAATCCTTCAGCTCTCATGATTGATTAAGACAGAATTTCTCCTTACAATATCAAGCAAACAAGTGGTGAGGAGAAAGAGAAATATCAGTTTGGGGTTAGTACATGTAGTTGACCCAATATCAATTTCACTGAACTAAAATCAAAAGAATTATTTAGGAGACAGAAAGGAGAAGTACTACCAAGATCTTGGGAGTGAAAGGGTATATAAAATGGACCGAGTCTTACCCTCCTTCTCTCTGTCTTTGGACTTAAACAGGACTTTAACTGAACAGGCTCTGAATCAAAGACCACTTGGGGTACTGAATACTGTGGAGCAGCTCCAATATAAGATATAGGTACATCTTCTTCAGTCTCGTCTTCCTCCTCTTCTTCTTCCTCTTCATCCTCAGAAATGTCACCATTAACTAAGTGTGTCACTTCACCTGTGGCAAAATCATAGCTTCCTTCCACATCATCTGTATCACTACCATCAGAAAGCTCATCTGTTTCCAAGTACCCACCCTGGAAGGTATTTGTCTGTTCATTAATAATAGGTGAAGGCACATCAATCACTGAAACACTAACATCATTGCCAGTGTGTTCCACCTTTCCTTGGAAACCATTCATAAAAGAAACATTTTGGGCACTATGGACATCAGGAGAAGGGGGGACATCAATCACAGATACAGTAACATCACTATCCTGGGGCAACTCTGGAATGTCAATGGCAGATACTGGCACCTCATCAATTGATGTTATTGGAACTGACTCACTCATGCTCCTTTCCACTTCTGAACTCTGTGAATTTCCATTCCAGTCCTGGGTCTCAACAGCTGGAGCACAAGTTTCAACTCTTTTTTCCTCTGTTTTTGAATGGTTCACTTTCCTGGCAGACATCTCCTTTTGCTCTGGTGCAGAAATCTGAACACTTGGCTTTGGTTTCTGGTAAACACCCATTGGAGGTGTGTTGTCATGGCTTGCATTGCTTATTATCACAACATTGCCCACCAACCGCTGCTCCATCTTTCCAGTCTTGCCTACTGGTCGCAAACCATGAGAAGAAAGGGATACTGTTTCACAATTATCATTTGGAGGACTACTACTATTCTTCTGATATTTGTCCATAACCTCTTTCGTTTTAAGGCTTGCTGTGCTCTCTTTTTCCTTGCTATTCTTTTTCATCCAAGGGAAAATGGACTGCTGTTTCTCCTTCTGCCCTGACTTCACCTCTGTCTTGTTAGATCTGTTAAAGAGATTGGATTTCTTGCTATCAACTTTGTTCTCTGATGAGCTTTTCTTGCTTGATTTCACTGGAGCATGGGACCTGTCCTGATTGTTAACTTTGTTCTTGGATTTTTCTTCATTTGCACTCTTGTCTTTCTTATTTGGTCTCCAAACACTGGAACCAAATAATGCTGACAGTTTGTGAACAGAACCTTTGGCTGGCTTGACCTGCTCAAAAGCTTCAGTAGGCTCAGGGTCTATGGGAGTAACTGGCTTGGTCTCAACTACAGGCAAAGTCTCCATTTTCAGCATTACTGGAATTGGTTCTTTGACACTGTCCTCCATTTGGACAACAGAAACTTTTGAAACACATCCTAGGGTCTTGTCCCCTTCTGAATCATCTACATCTGACTGTTGAGATAATTGCTGATGAAGAAGTTCTGTCACCCTGTGTTCAATGTCACTTGAAACACTGCGCTTTCGGGCAAATACTGGTTTCATGTCTTGGTCTTGTGAATGTGTAACTGCTGGCAAAAACACATCATTTTCTTTTGGTGTAGATACGTGATCAGTGGAAGTGATTTCATTCTCAAATGTGCCATGTAAATATGCCTCACTTATAGGGTCATCTTCACTTGTTGAGTCTGATTCTTCATCATCAACAAGCAACAGGTCTGACACAGATGCTCTTCTTATCAGCTTGTTAACACGGTGTTCAATCCCATGAGCAACATTTGATTTATGCTGAAAGCAGTCATTACTTGCGTCTTCTCTAACATCAATAAGTGATGATGATTTGCCTCTTTCAAGACTGCTGCTTGGTGAAGACTTCTTGCCAGTGTCACTTCTGGGAGAAAAATTTGTGGCTCCATCATCAGTCCATGGTGACACCACACTCATGACATCTGCTGTCCACCTCTTTGTAGGACCAGGGGGTCTCTTTGGCAGACTGTTAGCCGATGAAAGGGTTGATTTAGTGTCACTACAAGGAGACAAACTTGACACACCATCATCATCATCATCAACTGGTTTTGACATCAAACTTAAGACATCTGCTGACCATCTCTTTATGGGAGGCGCAGGTCTCTTTAATTCTGCAGACCTACGTATAACACATTCCTGTTCATTCAATGGTGCAGACTGATTGCCTCTCAGAAAAAGATTTTCTTCAGATGGGGTCCGTTTTCGAAAACCACCCACTGCACCAAACTTACTTCGCAATGACTCAATAGAGCTTGCATTGAAAATGTCATCTGCTTTGAGAGTTTCAGATTCATGTGGAAGTTGAGAAACATTGTTTATAGTGGCATTAACAAATTTTATATCTATATTATTGGAAGGAATTGATTCTTGTTGACTTTTTCCTTCAATCAGAATGTACTTTTGATTCTCTAGATTTTTGTCAGACTTAAAGGATTCCACTTCCCCTTTCGAGTCTGCATCCTTGACAAGTAAGTATTTCTGTAAACTTTGCTTCTGTGGTACAATTGTTTTCTCAGCACATGTTTGTACAGCTTTTTCTCTCTGCGAGTCCATACAAGGTATGACCAGATCACTGTGATCATTAAACTTGGTTCTCTGTGCCTGCTTATCAACACTGTCAAAAGCATGCTCTCCTTTAGAATCTAGAACCACATCTTTCTTGTGATCTGAGTTGTCAAAATTCTTTGAAGCACTGTGTACGTCAAAAGCATGCTCTCCTTTAGAATCTAGAACCACATCTTTCTTGTGATCTGAGTTGACATTAGCTACCAGTAAGTCTTCCTTACCGGCCAGGAAAGCAGAATTTGTCGATGCACCATGTTTCAACCAAGGAGAAGTAGCGACGAAATTTTTGTATGGTTTAGGGGCGACAAACGGTATTGCAGAAGTTGGTTTTCGTCCAATCGAGTCTACGGGCAAACTCGATGAATTCTCTGTGTCGGAGATTGATTGTGCATTGTCTACGGCACTTGTGGTCAAAATTTGCAATTGCAAGGAAAGTTGATGTGATTCGCCATTAGCAGCACCTAATGCACTTTCTACAGTCCTCTTGTCGCTTAGTACACGGGCTCTACTTTCAGTGTTTTTGAGGAATAGCGGCACGTTCGTTCCCCCGTTTATTTCTGGTTTCGAATGTTCAAACATTCGTCGATAGTTGGGAACAGATGGTGTCTTGACGTGCTCAATGTCGTTGCCAGGGTTTAAAACTGAAGAATTAACATCATTCGAACTCGCTTTTAAATCTTCTCCGTTCGCAATAGCTTTCGATTGTTGGGAACTTTGCTGGTTACTTTCGATCTCTATTCGAGTGCCCAGTTTGTTTGGTTTGTGTTCCAGTTCTGTCGGAATCTCAACACCTTTGGTAACACAACTATTTGTGTCTGCGGGGCTTGAACACAATGCAGGACCACCCTGGCTCGCGTAAATATCGGTTAAAATAATTTTCTTCTTGTCTTCTTCTCCATTCTTGACAACTGGCTTGCAGCTTGAATTTAAGACCAGTGTATTAGTCTGTGATGCCTTACGTACAATCCGTGGACCAAACAAAGTATTGACATGTAAGGCTTGTTCCTTAGTTTCCGGCGAATCGATGGTACTCTCCTTTTTTTTTTCTAGCAGCGATCGCTTCCACTCTGGGATAGATGTTTTGCGAGATTTCTCTTGTTCGAGCTTCTGTCGCTGGTCTTGCTCCTTTCTCTTCTTCTTCTCTATCAGTTCTACTTTCCATGCCGGTAAAACGGTAGTCATATCGAAAGATTTATCCTTGGTAATGGACAACCTGTTTGTATAATTATTCAGCGACCGGCGCTTATCGATTCAAGATATAGCAAAGCTGTTCCATGCTTGACAGGAATTTTTCTGTTATAGTGAATCCTTTAGAAAACTCTAAAACTTCCTTAATGCCTGAAATCTCTCGACAGTTCCAGCGTAAAGGGATTACGAATTGACGCGACAGTTCCCAGAACCGCGACTAACTTTGCTCATGCTCCGCGAAGCATGGAATTGTATCGATGATGTCACACGGTTAAATAAATATTTGAAGCAGGCACTTGAACAGGCCATAACACTCGCTGATTGGTGATAGCAATCGCTTGGCCGGCGCCCGATTGTTTGCCACAAATTGTATGAAAATTTAAAGCTTTTTATGTACAAAAGCCTATTGGATTAACATCTCCACAAGCGCTGCAGGAGATTTAATTGTTTACAGTGCTAGCACTGGATTTCTTTAGTGAAAGCATGCAAATTTTCTAACTAGATGGGAGTAAAATCGACTATCGGACGAGTTCTAAATATTATGCATGGGGTTCTCGAAAGGTTTGCACAAAAGAAAAGATTCGGAAATACATGATGAATAGGTGTTACTTGTCCATCGAGGCAAAAAAAAAGGAAAACTTTCCAAAGTAACCCTATTTTTAGAGTTTGTCAGAAATTGAACATCTTCGCTCATCTCGAAAATGACTTTTACACATGGTTTTACATTTGAGAGCAAGCAGAAATGGATATTACTTTGCATAATAGCCAAGTGTCAAAACAAACTTTATTTATCTAGAAAATCACTTAAAGCGATCTTAATCTTCTTTAGAAACAGCTAAGTTCTGTACAAACTCGACGGAAAACGATTCTACTATTTTCATGCAAATTACTTCCTACCAAGAAAGCCTCTTGCTTAGAGAATTAGGACATCATTATTTCGAAACGAGTAATATTGAGCAGAAACTTTAATTCTGTGAATCAGCAGTATAAATATGGCATCTGACTCTTACACAAATCGATAATAGCTGCCTTCTTGCTGCAGGACTAATACTGCTTATGGCCATTATGCTTTATCGGCAGCCGGTTTCAGTCTCCCGTCTCAATTCTTTGTGGCCTACGGAAGCGATGTTTTAATAGACATACCTTGCCACTTGTAACTTGCCTTATAGGGCAGATTAACCACCCAAGAGACCAATAAACAACTCACTAAAAATATTGTTTGTGATCAACAAGTCACAAGGAATTAAGAGTCACTTTATTAGCAGTACATTATCACACTATCATTGTAAAATTTGCATGCACGTCAACGTCTGATATTTGAGTGATTTTTTTTTCCTTTGATTTTTGCTACAGGTGCACTTACTCAGCCCGATATATGTGCAGGAATTTTGATTGACCACTCAACAGAACCCAAAGGAAATTCGTCACGGTCACCACAAGTGCTTGAATTTTAACGCATCTGTGCACAGAAATAATAATTTTAATGAACGACGTGCGTCACGAGTATTTTAAACAACCACGCCAACCCCGGCTATGTTAGATGGTTGCTTGTTCTCCGACTATGCAAATATTATGATGGATTTTAGTCTTCTCCTCCTGTTTTGTTCTCCACTTCTACTTCATTTTGACGAGAATTGAAAGGCATCTATGGTTTAACAGCAAGGCAAGTTTGGTCAAGTCTATTCGACGGGACGAAATTTGTCACTTAGATTTTCTTTTTTTTTTTTCAGACAACTTTCAATTACCCTCTATTTCTATTCTCTAACAATAAAATACATAAATAAATAACAAAAAATATATGCATTAATTCAATCATCGTGTTATATCTTTACAAATTTTTGTCTGACAGGAGTAAATAAAAAAAACTGAAAATGTCCTTTAAAATGCTTTGGGCAGGTTTGCTCCGTAACTTATAAAAGGGAATAAAATCTAATACCATGGGAAGATCATTTTGACCTGTTATAGAAGTGATCCTTCTAAAATTTTCTTAAGGACTTAGTGCTCTGAAGTCTCTGAAGAATGTTTCATAAGCTTCGATCGCTCAAACCGTTTTGCATAAGACGAATAGACGTCCACCGGAATGCCCGTCGGTGAGCAAAATTCGCGACACTAGGAAATACCCTTCTGCATCTCCGAAAACGGGAGCGTGTTGATTTAAACTTAAAGAATGGTCACCTCAGGAATAACGCCTTGCAAAATTTTCAATTGATTGTTGTGAAACATGGCCTGGGTACTCGCGGCGACCAATCGGAACAGAGAAAAATCACACGGAGCCAATCAAATCTCAACAAGAAAACAAAGAAACTACCCAGAGCGCGGGAAGGCACGATTGGTTTTAGTAGTTACACATCTGATTGGAAGAGAGGGAGACGCGATTCATATAAGACCATTCAGAGTGCGTAGTGAGGTAAAAACTTAAGTAAAATACTGCATTCATTTCGACACCAGATGGAAAATTGCCCATAAGGGATATAATTATCTACGCTATACATATCGGTTATCACAGACCTTCTTAGATCACCACCCAGACTGCGAGCGAAGTAGAGGCGCAGGGAATTGAACGAAAACAAACCCAGGTTGCCTCGCCTGACCAAATAAGCATATTAAAGCGGCTGTTAACAGACTAGCATGAGGTAGGTTAATAATTGACTCAGTGTTATAGATTTGTCTGTTCGCTGCTCAGTCGTAGTACAATTTCAAAATTTAATTGTATCTTTTTTCCCACACTCCTCCCTTGAGCGAATGAAAACGTAGCGTGATGCTTCTTCGTGTTCGTCCCGTGCTGTGATCGTAGATGAAAGAAAAACCAACTATCGCCCATTTTTTTTTATTTTTTATTAAGACGCCGATCTACGTACTGTTCACTATCTGTGTACGGTTACTTGCTCTAGAATGTCATTATCCTGCAATCAGGCGTTCTTCTTTGCGGGAGAGCGCTACAGTGCAGTAGCGCCAGAGACTGTGGGCGAAGCAATGCCCAACCGCCTCCTCACGAGCTGCTACACTATGGCGCTTCCCCGAAAAAAGGAGCGCCTGATCGCAGGTTAGATTCTCATCATCAGGTGATACCATTTGTACAAACAACGAATTGAGGATCATACAACTCCGAGATCTGGAAAAACAAAAAAGCTCCCGATGAACTAATCACAAATAATATAGTAAAAGTCTTAACTTTTTTATTTGTCTGTAGGACTCAACTGAATTACTTTGGGGTATCACTGTTAGGTCACTTTAAGATTCTGAACAGAATAACTTGAGTATTCCGATAGCTGCAGCCTTTTTTTCTTATATACGGCATTTTTCATCATTACTCAAGAAGATCCGTGAAGTCAATCCACAAAATGATCGGGATGTCCTATTGAAATTCTAAAGTTGCGAGAAGCTTTCTGCTCTCTGTCTTCTTTACAAAAGAAACTAACTGCTTTGAGTGGCAGAATAACCTCGTATATCATTGACGTTGTGATATTCTCATCTTCCTCGACAACCGAATCACCTTCCTAGCGTTAGTTGAAAGGTTAATTCAAATTTGTGCTGCCCTTCCGTAGAATTACAAGGCGTATCTTTCAGTGAGAACAAATAGATGACTCGACAGCTGAATGAAGTTGCTTTGATCTACACTCTACCACATTTGCCCGTCTTCTTGTTCGTATCTTCTCTTATCACCAGTCTCATAACTTTCTCTTCGTTTTTCACGGTGACTATGTTTTTCTTTATTGCGAGACCTCTCACTGTCTCCATAACGATCACGGTCTTTGTAACGATCCCGCGATCTGTCACTGTCACGCTCACGGTATCGCTTTCCTTCAGTATCACCCTCGCGATCATGAAAGTAAGAACTGCCTCGAGAGCTTTCTTTGTTACGTTCACGTTTGTCACGAGATCCATCTCGATCACGTTCACGCTCACGGTGATAATAATTCTCACGAACGTTGTCGCTCTTTCGTTCACGATAAGTGTCACGGGGATTATCACGTGAACCGCGATTTCCCTCGTGGTCTCGCGAACCCCGTAAAAACTTGTGTTGGTTTCCAACTTGTTGTGTTGGACTGCAAAGTAAAAGTAAATTAATCTATCACTCAATTTTACAGCGACTTAATAAAGAGAAACTATTTTGGTCACTTCAAATTACAAATACAGCCCTGGCTAACAGATATTAGACGAAAAAAAAAATGTTCAGTTAGCTATAAGACCAGTCTGAATTTCAACAGGGACCGTGAAGGGTGGGAGAAAAATGACTGAAGAATTCTTTTCCAGCACGTGCAAATTCATGTTAGTTTTAGCAACCCTCTTTCTCGTCTCCTTAATAAATGCTCCGCCTGTGCAGGAGAAAGTGTAGTTTTGTCATGTTTCATTGTTATTCAAGGCTACTGAGTTAATGAGATTTGTACAGCTCTCTGAAAACCAGGGGTAAGTGTTACAAGCCCACTGGCCCCCTATTGCCAAAGCTGTTCCTGGTTTCCTTGGCATCTGTACAAAAACAACCAAGGGCCAATATCACCCAGTCGGGCTCAAGCAAGCAAGGTTAATAAGTAGCTCATAGTATGGCACTCTAACCAAACTTTTACATTTTAAATTTGCCGGCTTTTGCGACCAAAAATATACAGCTGATGGCCGTTTCCAAGGAGACAGTGGAAATGGCACAATTCAGAGCAAATAAGAACCAAACAGACCTCAGTTTTACCTCAGGACTACTTTGCCATAAAAGTATCTTACACAAGAACAAAATGACTCAACAAAATGACTCAACAAAATGACTCAACAAAATGACTCAACAAAATGACTCAACAAAATGACTCAACAAAATGACTCAACAAAATGACTCAACCAGGGCTCAGGCATGACATTTGAAAACTGGGTTCTAGCATGTCCCTCATTTGGAATTATAACATTTATGTCTAGCTGTTGGGGTGGAAGGGGGAGTTTGAACAAATAAAAAAAATTGTATTCAAACAACTCACATTGGTCTTCTGAAGAGACGATCCCTTCCTCCGAACCTCAGTTGTCCCGATTCTTTCTTTCCTCCAAAGCCACCTCCTAAAATGATTAAAACTTGTGAATTCTGTATCCAATTTTATCCACTGCTTTGGAAAGTAATCTAAAACATATAGTACCTTTACTTTGTTATCTTTTGCAACAATTTTCCTGAGATGTAAAGCCATACTCCACCAATAATACTTTTGAGGTGGTCATTAATATTTTGCCTCTGTTACTTTGGTCTCTGTAGCATGTATTTCCTTCAACTGAGTTTTTAATTCCTTGACTAATGATTTCAAATGTCTGCTTTGGTTTCTGGTTTGAACATTCCACAAACTGGTAGGTGTATAACTTACTATCTTGTACTTACAGTCTGATGCTTTCAACATGATGTCTGTTAAAAAATGAATAGGTTTACATGATACTCAAAAAATAAATAAATAAATAAAGATGTAGCCTTTACCCAGACGTCTTGGGATCCAGCCCTTAAGAGATCTTGCGGCTTCATATTCTACTAATATGGTACAGCCATCTACTTCTTTACCTTGCAGTTCCTAAAGTGATTGAATGAAACAACTGATCATTACCGTTGTTAAGTTAACAAGTTCAAGCTCATACTGACACTCAACTCACCCTCCAGGCCACATTAGCATCTCTCTCACTTCTGTACTCCACAAATGCATATCCTTTTGAAAATCCAGTCACTACAAGAGAAGGAAAAGTTCAAATTACTGACCTCAATGAAAGAACTTTTCCCATGATGTAAAAATCTGTATCTAATACTTTACGTCATGAAAATAATCCGGTTCTATTGTGAGAAGAGAACACTGTTTCTAGCTGAATCAGCTGAAGCGATTGTACCTACAGCTGCTACCTCATCTCAAAGGTCAGAAAACTACTCCATGCATTTCAATAACTTTTTCCAAAAGAAGCTTCAACGGTGTAATAGGTGGGCTGTGCCTGGAAGGTGGGACACAAGTCGAAACCCAAACAAGAATGCCTGCTCGTAAGCTAAACAGACAGCAGTAGGAAGACTTCTAGGCAATGGTAAATCTTTAGTAACCACTTTTAATGAAACCTCTGCAATGCTATTTTTCAGTACCAAGGTGCAGTTAACAATACTTTAATTTGTAAGTGCCTGCTAAGTATGTTGCAACTAAAAACAAATTATCTTGAAATGATCTTGGCAACAAAAAAACAAAGGCCAACAAAATTAATTTAAATTTATTTATACCAGGTTCAAATTCATACTAATCAGTCATGTGCTAGTTGTGTTCAGAGGAGCAATAAAAATCTTTTAACCCCAACAGTAACTCACTTTACTCAGGATGTAAGCAGAAAAACCCAACAGTTGGGTAAGCTCAGATGACCACCAATAGCTCAGCAAAGCATTTGTTGAGCATCAGAGAGAATTGTACAGCTACTCTTCTGAATTCTAAAATTAATGTCAATGAATTGAGCTGTTTTTTAAGTAAGGTATGGAGAATAATGTCCTCTCACTTTACAACATTTTCCTTCTTCTATTTATTTCTTAATACAAAACTGAATCAGCATCGCACAAAACAATCTTAACTGGCATGGAAATTACGATATAAAATGTAAATTGTTTAACTGTCTGAGTAACATTACTTACCAACATCTCTCACAAGTCTACATCTTGTTAACTCGCCACATTTTGCAAATATCTTGTACACAGTTCCTACAGGGAAATAACAAAGGGAGGTGGTATACAAACAATAAAACCTCAGTATCATGACTATGGAAAAAGTTCTGCAAGTACTGCACTTTTTTTTCACTTATTTTCTCTGCCTGACTATCTTATTTTCAATTATATAATGTTTATCAAATATTACTGATGAATGTAAACTACCATTAACCTTCAGTTTCTCTCTTTGTCAGAAAATATTATAATTTTGGATATTTCTAACCTTCACTAGTATCCTTGCTTAATTTTCCAACAAATAAAGTGCTGTCTGGATCACCATTTACTCTTTTGTTTGGCTTATCTAGAGAAGAGAAGATAAAAATTCATCTATCATCTATGTTGATGTCATATGTAACTGTCCTCAAATGAATCATGACTAAGAACTAATCATGATGCATGTATTCACTCTGACAAAGGGCTAATGCTTGAAACATCAGCTTTTTAACCTTTTAAGGTGGCCAACTTACAAATTCAACTTATGTATGGTGCACGATCCTTGCAGTAAAGAGCACTATTTATGCAATAGCGAAAATCAGACCTGAAAAAAATCAGGCCTGTACGGGATTCGAACCACTGACCTCTGCGATACTAGTGCAGTGCTCTACCAAGAGCTAACAAGCCAGCTGAGAGCAGGCCGTTAAGTTGATTCTTAATAAACCCGTCGTGATAAACCAGATACGATGAATATATGAAGTTCATATATTTTGAACTGCGGTTATAGATACATATGATGTACAATCCTCGCAGTAAAGAGCGCTATTTATGCAATAGCGAAAATCAGACCTGGAAAAAATCAGGC